CTTAAATAATGGCAATGTTGTTGAAGCCGTTATGGTGTAAGGACATAAGAGACAAGCTTTGTAGGGGGAAGAAGTACATTTTATTACCACGAATCATGCAGCTGGAAAAAACAGGCTTCAAGTACGTGTGACTTGCCGCAGGTCTTCCTATGCTATAATATAAAAAAGCCTATAGATCGCTTTAATTCCCTAAATCATAAAACGTTTGTTCAATTCAGTAATCCTAATCTTAAGCAAAAGTATGCCGCTACACAGGCATGTCCTACAAAATGTTCTTTTTTTTTTTTTTTAAAAAAGGCAAACAGAATACAGGTATTTTTTTGCTGCCCTCTGATTTTCTGCTGAAATTGGATACTCCCTGTAAGAGCAGCAGTCCAGCCTCGCAGCTAATAGCCAGAGGGTCCAGCAGTCAAAAGTCTGAGGAGGTGTTTAGAAATTCTAGCATCAGTTCCCCGCTGCTCCACGGGCATGTTGCCGGAGATTGGGCCTCTCACTGCCCCGTGCATAAAAGGGAGCGAATGCTCCTTCCAGGTCAGCGCTGTAACAGCAAGCATTGCAAAGACACTGAGTCAGCAAGAATGGAAGCCGTAGAAGCACTTTAGACCAACCAACATGTGGTTTGTAACCACAGGCTTCTACTTCCCGTAGAGGACCTAGGTTAATTTTCACTTATGTGCCATTTGCTGTCACTTAAAGGAGTAAAAGTCAGGCACCTAATGCATTTAATGTAAAAGAACAAGCATTTTTGTTGCAACATTGTCCTCTGCTTGAAATGGCTGCGCTGATGCCACAGACCTCACTCAAGCCCAGCCTATGGAAAAGAGGCAAGTTTGAAAAGCCCCAAAATATGGATTCTGGTGGCTGAGCTAAACAATGAGCACAGCACAATCCTTCAGTTTTTTTAAAAAAAAAAAAAAGTTTCCTAGATTTCCATAACAAGATAACATTGAGGTGTCTCTTCAGTCATTTGAAAAACTGGGAATATAATGTTATTTTTTCCGAACAATGTCTGGTCATTAATTCTCAAAATAAAAATTAATTTTTTCGTCCTTAGTTGCAGTTCATTGCAACTTGTTGCTGCATTCAGTTTACCTATTTATATGGCATTCTGCTTAACATTTTTCAATCATGTTGTGTCTCACTGTTCCAAAAATTAGCTCTTGAGTATTTTATAGTCATTAATCTTCTATGTTTATTTTTATTTTTTCCTTCCTAGATATTTTCAGTGACTAAAACTAAATGCCAGTCAATTTTTATATGCCTAAAGTGTTGGTCTGTATTTTCTATGTGCAGTTTTATGAAATCACATGGGCCTGCTCGATCTGCCTTTACATCCTAGTGAACTAATGAAGACCAAATTAAGTCCAAACAGGATCTGATCCCATGCTCTGGATCCACAGAAAAATCCCATTCCAGATAATGATGTTGTTCTGGCAAGACTGAGGTCTGTGTTGTGTTCCTACCGTGTGCTCTTTCTCCCACGTGACCCTTATGCTTTGGAAAAGCCCCCTCAGATCTGTGCCACTTGGTGGAAAGGGAGGAGTCCAGCCATAGGGAACGTATTGCAGGAGCAGAGATTTGATTCCTTAAGCTCTCCTGAGCTAAACTTTATGCAAACCTGATTCTGCCCTATTAAAATCACTAATTCAATAGTGGTAAAATCAAAGCTTCAATCCTTGAGCAGATGAATTTCCCCTGAAACCAATGGGAGTCTGACGGGAAAAGGGACTGACTGAAATATAAATGAGGACGGCAAGACTCTCTCTGTCTTGATTAAAATCAACAGGATCTTTAACTATATAAATCAGATGAGAAGACCAGGCCCTTATTGACTGCCATATTTTAAATGTTTTCAGAGAAGCACATTTATTTTGAAATCTGTACAAGCAAAGGAAATGCAATTCTCTTTATTTAACAGAAGTTGTATTTTTTTTGAAATCTTGGAAGCAAAAGGATCAAGCTTTAGAAGTGCTTTTGGTATAATTTCATACTTTTGACTATGCTGAATATTATTTCCAGAAGCACAGGTTTAGACATTTGGTTTTTCCAGTCCTGGCTGCATACACGGGATCCACTCCTGAATACCTAGCTCATGTATAATTCCTGATCAAAACATTTACTTGAGCAGTTGCAGGACTGGACCTAGCTTTCATTCCAGTACAGCATGTGTAAGAAGTGCAGTCCAGGATCACTTCATTCATCATGAATTGCTATGTAGCAAATTATGCAAAATTACCTGAGTATATTTTTCTGTTTTTCTAAAACTTCGAAGCCATTTCAGACTTATTAGCCATTCACCACAGTAAGGGGAGGGTTGTTTTTGAGTTCTGGAGTCAGTCTCCAACAGTTGTGGAATTTCAAAACAACTTAAGGAGTCTTAAGATGAAGTCACTCCCCTGTACACCTGAAAGAGGTCTGACTCTTCATATCACTGGAAAATGAAGATTGTTCAGGGAGATAGCTTTGCAATCAATCTATTTTTTATATTTTATACTAACTGCAGAATCCCGAATCAAAGTTTTAATTCCTTTTCAATGATGAAACCAAATGTATACATTTAAAAGATGTTCACAGAGTAATTGGAACAATTTTTGAGTAAATAGTCACATTAATCCAAATCTAGGGGGGGGGGAATAATATATCGCACAAACTGCAAAGGAAGTTCATACAGGAAAGCTGTTTACAGGGGAAGCATATAATGTAAAGAATGTAACAAGGTGTACGAAGTTATTGCACTACAGAATTTATATAAAATACACTTTTTTAAATAAAAACACAAAAGGCCTTTTAATGCTTCATTGTATAGAACATAGGAGCCTCTGTGCTAATGCAGCAATCTAATGCACTGTGTCCTCACTTCAAAATTGGTCTCAAAATTCAAACATTAGTGATTAGTTAGAGAGGTGATATCTGATCTAACACTAGAGCAACTGTTTTGAAGAGCTTTTTAGCACAATATTACATAACCAAAAGTGCATACAAAAAATTGTATTTTTGCCTATAACATACATAAATCAAAACGACAATTGGCTTCTTGAGTCTTCTCCTAACAGGTAACACTGGACAACATATTTTTATTCCTTGAAAAACAACTAGTTCTTTTAAAAGTAGTTCTCTTCCCCAATATGTAGACTGAGCTTCTGTTTCCTTAGGTCTATTTGAAACAAGGTTTACCTTCAAATCATCTAATTAACTCCTTTAACCTCATCTCTAAACCGCAGTCCACTACAAAAGCCAGTTGTCTTTTTCAAAGCCCTATTGCAAATACAGTCAGCCTGGTAAAAATACCCAGGGCCTACCTGACTGTTTTTTTTCATTCATATAATTTTTGAGTAATTTGGATAAAGAATAAAGTTTAACATTTTGACCATGCAAAAAATACTTTAAAAGCAAAAAAAAGCAAGAAATACGGGGTTTTTAAAGTAGCCAGTACAGATCAAGCAAGAAATGCAAATACAGCAAAGGGGGAAGAAAGGCAGAAAACTGTAAGTAAACAAGGCATGGTTTAATATACTATATAAAAAAGAGATATAACAAAACATATATAAAATAGTCCGTGTTCACACTTAATGAGGTAAAAATGCCAGTAGCAAAAGATTTAATTCCAGTCCTACTCCATCTTAATTTTTATCCTAGAACCAACAGGTCTCTACTGAGATTTTCAGTGATGTTATTATCTGCTCGCCTGCTACATGAACATCTGATCTGTAATGGTTTTTCAGAAGACTTTCCTGAAAAAGAAGATACTGTGTGTTCTTATCTTTGTTGATCTTTGGATCTCTTCCCATTGCCCTCCAAACACCAACCTTCTCTTCTTCTTGGGAGCAGTTAGAAGACAACCCACCAAACGAGATGACAGGTGTGTCTTCTTTATCAGGAAAGCATTTTGGTAGTCTGGTGCAAATGGCCAGATGGACTCTATTGCATTTGAACCAAGGAGCAAGAAGA